GCAGGAAATAAGATCTTATAGGTAAAGGGATAGTTTGGAAGTAGAAGGGCATAGATTTTGTTTGCAATTCTGCTACCTCCTCTGCTCTGTCATGGCTTTGTGCCTCTGCTTCTCCATCTGTGTCATGTTGTCTTGTCTGTTTAGATGGTCCTTCTAGTGAATAGCTCAAACTCTTTAACAGTGTAGCCTATAAGGGCTTTAGAGGTCCTCACATTTATTATAAGAATAAATAACCCCCTTGGTAGGCAATTGCCATGTTTATTTGCATTTTTCATTCTGTCTTGTATACCTCTTGTCCTTATTTTGCAAATTTAAAATATACCAGATCCAATATTTTCCTTAAACAGCATTTATTTAGGTGCCTAAATAACAGGTCACACTTCCTGCAAAAACTCCCCTGTTGCTCTCAGTTTCATAATTGAGACAGACTTACTTAATGTGCAGTGGTTTCTAATTTTTAAACTTGGGCCATTGTTGAAGTTTTTGAAAGTAGGAAAACAGTAGGCATTATATTACGTAAGCCTGTTATCTTGCAGATTTTGGAAGTCTTGAAGCAGTAAATAAAACATACTGTTCAGAAGACCACGTTAACATCTGTCCTGTTTGCACTAAGATATTTTTGTTGTAAGATAGTGTATGTTGAAACTAGTAAACTGAAACTGCTATATCAGCTTCATCTCTCTTCAAAGCAGAAGAATTTGGGGAATACTTAGTGAAATTGGTGGCAAGGGATTACAGCTAATGGGAATTTATATCTATATATGTATAAATAGAAGTATCTAATTTTAGTAAAACAAAAATAAAAACAAATAGGTCTTCTCAGTTTTGAAATGACAATGGTTAGTTTTTGGACCAGCATTCTCCTGGCCCAAATCCAGGATGTCTTCGGTTGAAGAAATATGTCTGATTTGGAATACGAGCAGTGTTTAATGGAACAAAAATTATTTACTGAAGTTTCTGGGAATCTTGTTAATTGATTTGAATTATTTTGTAATGAGTCAACAGATGCTTGTTTTGATGGCTAGCATGTGCATTTTGTTGATGCTAAATTTACTGTTTCTTATTCTGCAGAAATACTGGAAAATGTAAGACTAATACATAAACCAGTGTCTTTGCAACCGCGAGGGCTGATCAACAAAGGAAACTGGTGCTACATCAATGCTGTATCCTTACCTTGGAAAAAATTAATACACTTAAGTTAAAATTTGTATATTATATCTGTCAAAAGTTTTTCTGGATTATTCTGGTAAGTATTTTATAAAAGTGTTTGTCTTCCCATATCCAATACTGTGGTTAAAATGTTTAAGGGTAGCATCTAGAAATCCAGAGATGTTTTGGATCATTGGACCTTGTGTCCAGGGTTCCCCTGAAGTTGGTTGCACAATCCTATTTGCAATTTGTCTCTGTTACCTCTGTCAAAATATTTCAGAACTGTAACTTTCTGACGACTGAAAACCTTGTAATTTCTAGTTATGTTTACTCATGACTCTTTGTGCATCAACTTAAGTGATTATTTCTCTTTTGTACTTGAAGTAACTATTCCTACTCTTTGGCTTTGTTTTGGCAATTTGGTAAGCGGATCATTTGCTTTTCTGTTGAGCAGGCTGTCGCTATCATATCATCTGTGTAAATGCAGTGCTTAAAATAATCCTTTTATAACACGATGGAAGATTAGCTCACTCTTAATGTGTTAAAATTGTATTCCTCTGCAAAAATAACTTTTACCTTGGGTAACAGAAATCTTCAGTGCTGTATTATGATAGTTTTATTAATAAAATTTTTTTTTAATTAATATATCTGTATATCCTATGTTAGCAATGGCTCACTGCAAGTGATAATTAGGATACTTCAACTGCTAGCGAAAAATATTAAGACCAATTTCAAGACTGGTCATTGCAGAACCTAATAACCTGTTTCCAGACCAGTGATGGTGTTTTAAACTTCAGCTTTTATCTTGTATAACCAGTTCCGCACTCATCTGATTGTATATATTGGCTCCCATTTTTTCAGTCTTAAAATGTTACATGGGAATTTGTTACTCAATTTTTGCACACTATAGGGTTCAAGTTAATATATCTCTCTAGCTGTTGAGATTGCTGCCTTTTTTGTCATTTCCCTGCCCCTCCAGTCTTTTAATACATTTCTTCTGTTCAGTGTTCTCGCCAAGTAGCACAGATCTTGATGTTTTCAAAGTATTTTCTCCCCCAACATACACTGTAGTTTTACTCGTTGCTCCAAACTCTTCTTTACACTGCAGAATGCTTTATATCACAGCAGGTTGGTTTGGTTTTGTTATGAGGGTGAATCGTCACCTTTCACTTGAAGTGTGTCAGCTGGCTTCTTCCATTCTTTCCAGAAAACATGTTACAGGTTATTACTTGCCAATTTTCAAATTGTTAATCTTATAAAGTCTTTCCTATGAAAGTTTCTTTCCTCTCCTGCTCCTAGACTTAATGTTTCCTTCCCCTTTAATTAAAGTTTTTGACATTATTAAAACGTCAGTGAAATCACTGCATGTTACAAGATGCCGGGGTTTTTTAGTGTAACTTCTGTACATTATTAGTTAATGTTGTGATAAAAGTCCATCCATCGGTTCCAATTGAGTTATTGGATTGGTCTCCATAATAAAGAGTTAGCTTTGTTTTGCATATAATTTTACATATAACTGAATATTTGGTTAATATGCAGATAATATTTTCTGAATATTTCCTTAATGCCACTGCATAGACCCTGCAAGCCTTGGTTGCTTGCCCTCCAATGTATCATTTAATGAAGTCCATTCCAATGTATTCAAAATCACAGCGGCCGTGTACTTCAACACCAATGATAGACAGTTTGTAAGTAGCTTGTTAAAAAAAACCAAACAAAAACCTGTGATCTGACTAAGCTCATTCAGAAGTATCTAACAAATTATTACTTACTGCAATTGTTGAAAGTTGATACGTATCCAGAAGTCTTTTTTGTGTGGTTTTTTGGTGATACGTGGCTTTTATAATGAACTTGGTATTCTACAATTGCTTGACTAGTCAAGGAAGATACTTCCTGTTGCCTGGGGAATATCAGTTTTCAATAGTGTTTAATACGCAAAAATGAACCGTGAGAGCTGCAAGAACTAACCTAACACCTTGGTTTCATTAGCAGTGATCAGGTTAATTTTTATGTCTGGACTTTACTGAGACTTCATTATGGTATTTTTGATTTTTTTTTTTTTTGTCAGTCAGTAATGACTATGATCTAATTTTATTACTTGTTCTTCTAAATCTTAACTTGCTGCTCATGTCTAGTTGTTCCTTCCATTCTGTTTCAGTGTTCGTTTAATGAATGAGTTCACTAATATGCCTGTACCTCCTAAAGCAAAACAAGGTGAGTAGGAATAGGGGGAGAAAAGTTTCAAAATCATAAGAATGCTTTGGGGTAAGGATCTGCACTGTGTGATGTACTTCAAACTTTTAAATACTGGTGCTTGATCCCCTTCATGGCGCTCTGGATTTTTGGGGTTTCTTGGTATCTTAAAAAGTTTGCTGTTGCATTTCTGTCAGTGTTGTGCTTTTTCTTAGTGGTGATTCATGTCAAGAAGTCATAGGTGTTGCACCTTATTTTTTTTTTTTTCTTCTATTTGGTAGACCAAATGTACAAGGTCAGCTTAATTGTTAAGATGTCTTCTAAGAACATGCCCTTTCTAACAAAGTCATTTGATATTCACTGTATTTTACTTCGCTTCCTTCCTTACATATTTCCAGCTGTTTGGTTTATCAACTTGCTCAATTCTATCATTGTGCCTTAAATACTAAACACTCACTTTCAGTCGGAACAAAATGGGGCCATAATAGGTCTCTTCAGCGGTTAGAGGTTGCCTGCAGTCATGTATGTTATCATGGCTTTTAATTCCTCCCCATCCTATGCACTATTTCAATGTGAAAACTTTAGAAGTGTATCATTCTTGCTAATACGTGTTTATGATCAATGATGATTATGTAGTGAGGAATAGAATTTTTTTTTGATGCAAATAGATTATCTTGTAGGTTTCATTTTTTTAATCTCTAAACCAAATCTCTTGTATTACAAACTTATAGAAATAAAAAACAGTTTCAGGAATGTGTTTATGTAACATTATAAGAAAATATCACAAGGATCTGGTTGTTCCAGTGATTTCCAAACAGTTCAGACATTTCTGTGGTTTGCTGCTTAAGTTTTGTTTCTGTAAAACAAATCTTACTGTCTTATGCAACTTATTACACTTCTAGGTCATTTTATTGTATTGCGTAGTTTTCAAATATAGTTTCAGAGGCCTTGTATTGCCATTAGGTTGAACATTCTGTCAAACTTTTCTTGTTTGGTTTTTGTTTTTTTCTGCAGTGAGGAAGAGTGATCTATTAGAATTACAAATACATAAAAGATTTAAGGAAGTGTTCTTTGACTACAAAAGTAGTACAAAAATTTAAATACAACTAGAATTGTTCTTTTATGATGGCTATGGATATTCTTGTTAATCTTCAGAGTGTTGACTATAAAAAGAGAGTACTAACTTTTCCAGACCATCTGTAAGTCTATGTAGGATGATGTAAGATGTTTTTAAAAACACATTTACAGATAAAAGAGTTATATCTTGTGAATTCGGAGCTTGAGTCACTAAAACTGTAATAAAACTATTAATAAAAAATAACTTTGGATTCCGAAATCTAGTGATGTGTGAAAAGAATGTTAAGGTATAATATAGAAAAACTTCTATATGTTGTTATTTATATGTACTTCTCTTTTGCCTTGCAGCTTTAGGCGATAAAATTGTGAGAGACATCCGACCAGGAGCTGCCTTTGAACCTACATACATTTATAGACTTTTGACGGTTATAAAGTCAAGTCTGTCAGAAAAGGTGTGACTTACAAATCTTTGACTTCTGTCATTGCATTGCAAGGCAGTCACTGTCGTTAAAACAATGTAAAGCATACATCAGGTTCTGTGCCTAAATACCAGTAAAATCAACTAGTTGATAGTTCTTTATAATGAAGCTAGATTGTCTTGAGAATTAAATCATAGGAAGATGTTAATTACAAGTTTGTCAGTTTAATATGTCAGAATAATGAAAAAATTACTATTGAAATGGAACATCTCTTTTTATAAAGAAGATACCTATTGATTTATATTTAAGAAATGAGCAATTGTTCGTTTCTGCTTGGGATTCAGCTTGGAATGGTTGAAGGTCCACAGGGACTTCAAAATACTATTTCAGGTTTAGCTTCAATTTAACGAAAAGATAATAGTTCAAACCATCTTTTGATTTGGCCTTGGTTTGACAGCAACTTTTAGTATTACTTTTAAAAGAAATAGCAAAAAGAAAAAAATTACCAACTCGCATGTTAAATCGAATTTGTATTGAGAAGAATGCAGAAATGCTTGTATCCAGGTCAAGCTTATGTGTGTACTTACTGCTTATGGCAGGTTACCAATTAATGTGTTGGTTCTTTTTGAACTGGTTAAAAATGAGGTGGTGTTACAGTAAAATTTAAACTTTATTTGACTTTACAACTTAGACTGAGTAGTTGGTAAATTAGCTAAATTAATAGGAGAAAGCTCGATGTTCAATGTCGTGAACCTTATGTTAAAATGAAAACATGAAAATGTCATATAATAATTGAAAAAAAACCATTTTATTCAGGGCAGGCAAGAAGATGCTGAAGAATACTTGGGATTTATCCTCAATGGACTACATGAAGAAATGCTGACCCTGAAGAAACTTCTCTCTCCACATAATGAAAGTTAGTGGATTTTTTTTTTTTTTTTAGCAAACTTAATTTTTCAAACTTTCAAATACTCTCCTTTTTTTTTGTGGTGATTCTCTAATATGGAGTAATATTTGGAGATGATGTTGAGATAGGCATAGAATGCTGTGTTTTAGGGAACTCAAAGACATTAACAAGTAATCTTTTGTTAAAATCTGTCCAAAGGGTAAAATGAGTCCATTCTGTCCAATTTACAAATGACCTGAAGTGTTACTGGGTATTTGGAAAAGCATTATCATGTAATAATTCATATACCTGGTCCTCCTAAACAACAAATTTCTGTATTACAAATTTTTACTGAGCTCAGCTGAGCATTATTTGAGGCTAACTCAAATAATCTTGTCAAATAGTCTTGTCTTAAGCATAGGTATGTTTGCCATTCATAATACCTGCAATGTCAGTTGTTTACTGGGGTTTTGGCTGTCTCCATGGTGTGTTTTTTCAAAATATATCTGTGTTTTTTCACTGATCTTTAAACCACTGTTAAGATCTTTTTTTGAAGTGGGAACTTCTAGACTAATGGCTAATTTATATCTAATATAAACCAGAACATATTAAATTATTTTAAAATTCTTACTGACAAATGTGGAGAAAAATTTTCTTTGGAAGAAGTATTAGAATTTGTATGCAGAGTAAAATGCCATTTTATTTTACAGTGGCTTTATGTTTGGGTCCCCTATTAAAAATGAAACAAAACACTGTTAGTGTTAGCCAAGTATAGAATTAAGATCACTAGTTATCCAATTTCTCCTTAGTAGGGTAAGTTTTTTATGATATAAAATGAATATTCCATATTTTGTTCTTTAGCTGTGTGCAGTTTATAGCCTCCTGACTTTGGCACTTGCAAAGAAAATATTTGCTAAGCCTTGGGTTCCCTGTAATAAATCTGTGCAGAAAAGGAGTTGTATTTAATAATGGCATAATTATGTTTCCAGAATAACACTTGACTTTCTAATTTTCTACCCCATAAATTTACTACTAAAAATAGATCAAACTTTGCTAGAAAACTACATCTGTTTACATACAGTCATCAGTGAGCTGCATTCTGTTAATACATGGATGTGTCCACCTATGAGTGAGCCTGGAATATACTTGTTCGCATTTACTTTCTCAAATCTATGATACATGAAAACATTTTATCCTCTGAAAATTATTTGTATTGGGTTTTTTGTTTTTCAAATTCTTTATCTGTATACATGTTTTATTTGTAAAAAAATCAATACATTTTTTTTTCATCTTCACTTTAAGAACTCTCAGTTTCCAATGGCCCTGAGGCTCAGACTGTTCATGAAGAAGAGGAGCAAGATGAACAAGGGGAAGGCAGTGAGGATGAATGGGAGCAAGTGGGACCTCGCAACAAATCATCAGTCACTCGACAGGCTGACTTTGTTCAGACTCCAATTACTGATATTTTTGGTGGTCATATAAGGTATAGTACTTTTTCGTAGAAGTTGTTGAGACTGTAGGCTTCTTTGCCTTTACACGTAACTTCTTCCTCTGCTTTGCTTTCTGTATTTTTCACCATTATTGAATACTGTGATGGAAGAGACTATTACACAGTTTGTTCAGGCCAGGAGAGATGAACATTCTACCATGAAGCATTTGTTATGCTAGAGAGAGCTCAGAAGAGGGACCAGAATGATCAAAGGATTGATCAGTGATCAAATGATTCTATAACTTATTGTAGAGTCTGAATCTTTTCAAGTGTTTTAAAAGAGCAAACTGTTTAGAGAACGAAAGCCCTGAATTGCATATAGAGGAGGAGTTTGAAATCTGTATGCTTTGTATATTAATGTCTAAGAATTGCAAAGAACATTAGAGCTACCTAATTTTTGTGACCTCTGAAGAGTCTGGACTCATCTTGTAAATAAGGATACTAAGCGATAGTGAGATTTGCTAAGCGTTAAATCTGGTCAGTAAAAGAATGAAATAAAATTAAAAATTGTAAACTTTTTGTTATTTAGACACTTATGCTTCCAAGAGGCATAGACACACATGCTTCCCCCAAAGTTATATGTAGTAGTTAATAAATGTTAAAGGTGAAAGAAGTTTGGAAAAATGTAAATTACTACAAGATGTTACAGGAATGAAAAGAATGTGGGACATTACTTTTATATTCAGATCTGATACCAGATGAAGGCAGAAAGTAGATACTGAAAGAGTATTTTTTGGAAAGGAAGCCTCATGACTTGTTCGGAGAAATGTATAATTTAGAGTGAAAGCAAGGTAAACACTTGCTAAAAACATATTCCAAAACAAAAATGCTAGACTTGAAGAATTATTTTTAAATTGGAGACAGACACTTAATTGCTAGTGTTTGACTCCCTGTGTTGCCAGGTGTTCAGTCTAGAGGTGTGAATAATGTGGGTTAGTGCCTTCTGCCTGTGAAATGCACTGAAATTATTCTTCTGGGATTTGAGTCAGCTGGCAAATAAAATGATATTTTCCATAGAAATTGGCAGACAGATGTTTGTACATATTGATGAAATTCTGCGTTGATGGTATGTATTCATGTACCCAAGGTATTGTTAATACCCTTAATATATTTATCATGGTCAGAATTGTTTAGATGTCTGCATGATTCCATCAGTTTTCAAATTAAGAATACCGAGAGAACACTGTGTTCTGTAGAAGTCCACAGAAAGTGACTTAAAGCAAAGGTAATACTGAAAAAAGGCAAAAACTTGCACTGAGCAACAGAACCACAGGGTCCAATCCGGTATCTGTTGTCTGCTGTCACCACACCCACTTTATTTAGCTTCCAAACCAGGTCACACAATTTACCACAGAAGCAATATCCGATGTTGTGATGTTGGAAAGCTTCATCCTCTGAGGCTGAGGGTGGAGATAGGAAGGATTGAATACAGAATTGCCAGTAGAATTCCACTAAATGAAAGCATCAGAAGTTGGAAGAATCAAATGGAAAAAGCAGCTAGGAAAACATGGTTTGAATTGGCATCTTTTGGCTTGGGAAACTTAGGCTGTCCTCTTGAGGCTTTAATTGTCTATTAAATGCCTATTTAGGCATAATTGCTTAAAAAAAAAAAAAACCACCCCAAAAGTCTTCCTTAAGCAATGTGAGGCTTAAATATGTAAGTATGAAGATACACAGTTCTGTCAGGATCTGGTTTGTTCATGTGCAGGAGTCCCTTTTGACTTTCAGCTTGTGTGAATTTCAAATATTTGTTATGCAAGCTAGCTCACAAGCCAGTTAGAAGTCTGCTAAATATTTCCATAAGTAGTACCAAGTTTTCCCTTCAAATGCACTGTTATTTATAAAGAAAATACATCAATTACATTGTTGTAGTTTAAGCAGGGTGGCAATGGGCAGTGCCTGTTTTCCTGAAAAATTCTTACTGTAGAGTTCTTACAGTACCCGAGAGTAATTGTTCATTGAAAGTGATGCATTTTCCCTTTACTAATTGAAATTTGTAATTATTCTAATAAGTGATAGTTATTGAAAAATCATAGTCCAGCAAAGGTTTTGCTATCAAATCAATTTCTGCATATCTTTTTGAAGAAAATGTTTTGAAGAAATGTTACAATTTAATTTTTAATAATGAAAAAAAAAAAAATTCCTTAACATTATCTTTTCAGAATATTATCCGTATTAAATTAAATCTTTAATACATGGACTTGTAAACAATTGGCGTTGCTAGCATTTTTCTGTTGGTTATTGCACTAAATAATGGTTAGCTTAAAAAGGGTTTGGGAAGTGTATCCAAAAGCAGCAAGACTTGCACAGTGAAGGGTTTGTTTGTCGAAACACTGCACTTGCCATGTGTTGAAGGTTTTGTCCTTAAATATAGCCAAGGAGGAAGTGTTAAACTGAAATAAAGATGCTACTGTTTTTCATACGCACTCTTAAAAGGATATATATTTGCCAATATAAAGATGCGTTGGCTTTCTGTTGGTGCTTCAGGGCTTTGCCTGAGTCAAAGGGGCTCTTTTGATAGGCGTTTGCAGTACAAGCATTAAACCTCTATGTTAACATTTTGTACATGACCTGGAGAAATTGGAGAAATTTCAGCGTGGCTACATCGATTAGAGCTACTGTTAATTATCTTACTGCTTTCAAGCTTTATAAGGCACTATAACAAACATAACAATATAATACAGTAGTGATTTCTTTGGCTGTTTAAAACCACATTTTTGTAGCAGCTGAGCCTTTTTAATGTAAGTACTGCTTTCAGAATAAAAAATTCTTGAGCCATGTTTGATGGTTTTAAGTTTTCAGCGAAGTTTAAGAAAAACGAAAATCAGGAAGAGTCCAGTTAGTACAGTGACATTGTGGCTGAAGAGTGTACTGTCTCATTGCACGAAACAACAATCACCAAGCCAGGCTACTTAAAGGCTGCAACTGAATACACTTCAAACAAAAATAAAAGCAAAAAACCCCCAGGAAACATGTTGTCATGCCGTAGGTCGTTACTGCTGCCAGTTTTCCGAAAGACTCCAATTTATGTACAAAAGAGTACACGGACAAAATCTGGACACAGAAAATGATGGGAGGAAAAGGAAATGTCAGTCCTCAATGGAGCATAGTTTATATTTCCTATGGCAAGATTTAAGCAAACAATTTAAAATCACTGTGAAATTGGTCTTAGGGAAGTGACTAAAAAATTTGTGTATTTTTATTGGAGAATCTGGAATCAGTTGTAATTTTTACAGTAAAACATACAGTTAGATAAGCACTAGTATTTTGCGCTTCCAAAGATCTGTTGGAAAACATAATTTCAAAACTCTAATGTGAAGAGTCTGGAGGTAAATCTTTCTAAATCCATTATCAAAAATTTCACTATTTTTCTTTAAACTTTTGATGCTTATCCAGTAACTGTTTTAACCCTTGCATAAATAAACCAATTCAAGTATAATCCCATTCAGTATGCTCTAAGTGGATGTGAAAATCATTTACATTGCAGTAAAGTGGATTCAGGTTGTTGAAATTTAGGCTTAACCTTTGTATTTTTGTGTTTTGTTTAACTATAATTCGAGTTACTAAAGTAGACTTCTTACTTGGAGGTTCTATGTTGTTGAAAATTACTCTGCTTTATTACATTTTAACTGTTTTGTTTCCATAGATCTGTTGTTTACCAGCAGAGTTCTAAGGAGTCTGCTACACTGCAACCTTTCTTCACCCTGCAACTGGATATCCAGTCAGACAAGATACGTACAGTTCAGGATGCATTGGAAAGTTTGGTGGCAAGAGAGTCTGTCCAGGGTTATACCACAAAAACCAAGCAAGAGGTGTGTTCTGTTGACCCCTTTTTACAGTCAAATACTAAACTTTTTAAGAGGATTTTTATACAGCTCTTGCTTTACAAATAGTTACTTGAACACTACTGCTTATGTAACAAAAGAGGTACTAACCTTTTCAAAGTGTCCTGCAGCGGTAAAACGTATTGCAGTTGAACGCATACACTGAAAGGAAGAGAACTAACTCTTAAACAAAACCATGCCTGTAAGTAGTTATGTTTTCTGAGTTGGTGTAGTAATTGGTTGCAGGTTTTACTGGAGTGTATGTTAAATTAACAGGGTGAACTGTGGTAATAATACATACTATTATGAGCAAAACATCTTTTAGCTGATCTTAACATACTGATTCCTGGGGATTGCCAGGAGTTCTTAGTAAAGGAGCAGCTCTTCAGAGTACCGTTTGAAAGCACACTCTAGCTTTAAGAAGAAAAGTCTTGTAGCAGAACACTTGCATGGTTGTCTGTGGCTATCCTCAATGGATTTTGATTTACACATTTCACTTACAAATCAAAAATGAAAATATGTATTGGCCTGGTAGAAGTCCATCTAGAACCTCACTAAAAGTGAGGTGATCATCTGGTGATCACTATCTTTCTCTCTGGATTAATAATCTGAAATATTTCAATAGCCAGTAACACTACCATTCGGTGTCCTTGGCACTGTGTGGTTGACTGGTTTGCCGTACACAGCCCTAAAAAACCCCAACTTGTCAGTAATACTATATTCAGTTTTAGGTCATCAGTTCAAGAAAAATGTTCTTCACAGTTGGAGAATATCTGGAAAAGAGCAATCAAAATGAATAGCAGTATAAAAGTTGTGATATAAAAGGAACAAATAAGGAGGAGGAGCTGTTCAGCATCAAGATGAAAAAAACACTGAAGTAGAGAGATGGAACCGGATGTAAAACTTAGTATGTCAAAGGCTGCTCTGAAAAGGAAAAGACTGATTTTTCTCTGTGATACCCAAACAGTAAATAGGAATAGGACCTAGACTAGGTGTTGCCTATGGTGCTTGTAGAGTTGTCCTTGCTGCTTTAAGAGAAGGTTGGAGAAACACCAGTCAGGATTTACACAAGTGGTTATAATTGATTCAGAGGAGTGGAGGACTTTTTGAGATCTCCAAGCCCTGTGATTCTCTGTCACTTTAAGTACCAGGACATTTTATTCTGTATTCTCATGCAGCTCTGAAATTTTTTTTATCTTATTTTTCAAATAATACAATACATAATAGTAATAATTGCAATAGAAAAATAATTCATAGGACGAAAAGCATGCTTTTGACATTACAGTTTGAGCGCTTGTGATACAGGGTAATAAATTAAACTTT